TCAAGATACCACCAAAAGTGATTTCTACGCACGGACGGATTCGTTTAGTTGAACATATAGAACTGTTTTCTGAGGAGTTCTTCTATTATCTTCTTCCATTGATATGATGAATGACTACAAGTAAAATATGATTCAACAGTGCCCTATCGCTTGTCAACCTTTACTTATAAATTTTGATTTTCTTATTCGTCTATTGAACAAGGAAATACGGTGAATAAATTAATCTATAAGGTATAGCCACAATTATTAATGCTATTATAGGTATAATAATAGCTGATATCATATTYATAAAATATTATGAAACTAGTATGTTATCAGAAATAGCTTGATCATTTCGTTCTTGATTTAACTCAAAGTGATAATTTCTCAATCAGTTTTTATTTAGGTGACCCAGTTTTATTATAGTTCCCAAGGTAAGCGTGTTATWATACCTTTGTATTTATATAATAATAATATATTTTGAATATAATGGTATTACTTAATCTTTGATTGAATTCTCAAAGAGAATATTTAAATGATCGTGCTGATATCCATTAATCTAAATATTTTAGACTAATGGTTCATAAATAGTAATTATTTAAAATTTATATTGATGAATAATTAAAGAAAAATAATTTAAAATTGTATAAGCAAATTATTTACATTTCTCCATTTTAAAAGGCTGAYTATTAGATTATTGTAATTATTAAACTATATGTAGAGTACTAGCTTTTTGCAAACAAATTAAATCAAAATTTTTAGGAGATTGGGTTTTTACAAACTAAATAATTATTTTTTAGGTTAAGAGGACGTTACATATGTAATTATCATCTCTGTCATACACTTGTTTGACATAGTGAATTTTTTTTCACTGGTTTCAAAAGTGTACTGTTTATTAGTATGTTAGAGGGAATTTAGCTGCTATCATATTTTTAAGTAAGAACATTATCTACGTTTAAGCGTCAACAATTTTTAAATATTCTAATTTTCAAGCAAGTTATAGGTGAAATATCAACAATTATAGATGATAATTTGATGATACGAGATATTATATTAATTTAAAATTGACATAGATAACATCCTTTTAATATTTTAAGGATTTAAATCGATACCATGCTTATAAAAAATAAACCTATGATATGATGGAAAGGGAGGTTTTAGTAGTTATGAAATAATTAATATTTATGTAACGTGATTCAAATTA